CTAAGCAGAGATCTGAAGGATGGGACATCTGGGCAGGTGGCCAGGGATCCTGGGGGGAGGAGAAGATGGGTCATTCTCCAAACACTAAGGAAGATGAGCCTGAGCACCACCCAGAACCTATCTATTCCCTCTTGCCTGTGGCAGCCCTTTGGAGATTTACAATCAGAGACCCCTTCTCTTAAGTGTCCTCTTCTCCAGCATGCCCTGACCAGCCTAACCCTTCTTCATAGGACATATATGACAGTCCCCTCCCCTCCTCCATCCTGACTGCCCTCCTGTGGACACACCCAGTGAATTGGGGTTCTAGACATAGTTTGATCCACAGAGACGACAGTAGAAATGTCACCTCCCGTTTTCTAAACACTGCACTTTTACTAATGAGACCCAAGATCAACTAAGTATTAAGTAGTCACATCCCATCCTCTCAAACCAAGTTCACTGTTTCCTAACACTCCTAGTTCAAACACATGTTCCCTATCCTGGACGTGGGCAGATGGTTCCATGGACCTAAGACAAGAAACTTATTTTATTTTCTCAGGCTCAGCCCATTTTTGATCTTGGTTATCCCTTAGCATCATAGCTTCCACGAAAGTGATTGATGGGACTGGATGATTCCACTTATATGAAGTACCTAGAGTAGTCAAACTCACAGAGACAGAAAGTAGGGTGGTGGTTGCCAGGGGCTCGGGGGCGGGAGGGATAGGCAGTTATTGTTTAATGGGAACAGAATATCAATTTTTCAAGATGAAAAGAGTTCTAGAGATGGATGGTGGTGATGGTTGAAGAAAAATGTGAATGCACTTAATGCAACTAAACCGCACACTTAAAAGTGGTTAAGATGATAAATTTTATGTGTATTTTACCATAATTTTTTAAAAAGTGATTTGTGAGCCCTCAGGATTCACCTCCTCAGGAGAACATCTCCTCCTCCCCAGGCAGCTGAATTCGCACCCTCACAGCTTCTGGAGGACCCAGTGCCTCCAGAAGCGCCCTGTGAACACACTCTAAGACAACTAGAGGGCCGGCCCCGTGGCTTAGCGGTTAAGTGCGCGCGCTCCGCTGCTGGCGGCCTGGGTTTGGATCCCGAGCACGCACCGGCGCACTGCTCCTCTGGCCATGCTGAGGCCGCATCCCACGTACAGCAACTAGAAGGATGTGCAACTATGACATACAACTATCTACTGGGGCTTTGGGGAAAAAAAAAGGAGGAGGATTGGCAATAGATGTTAGTTCAGAGCCGGTCCTCCTCAGCAAAAAGAGGAGGATTAGCATGGATGTTAGCTCAGGGCTGATCTTCCTCACAAAAAAAAAAAAAAAAAGACAGCTAGAACCAGTGAAACCATCAGTACCCATAACACATCACTGTCCCTGGAATTCAAGGTCCCCGTGGGCCAGCCTCAATCCACCATCCAGCCCCATCTCCCTTGACTCCTCCTCCTCTAGTTCAAGATCTCTACTCCATTGTCACCTAAATGTTTGACAATGTCACCTATACTCACTAGCTCCTATTCCTCACCAACCACTCAGCCCTCAACTTCTGACCATTTGGCTCCTGCCATCTTCCTCCCCCTCTCCCAAAAAACCTGTGAGTTCCACATCACCAGTGGCCTCCTAAGTACCGAGGCCAATGGACACTTTCCATTCCTTCTCTCACAGCCACTCTCTGCAGGCTTTGACACTGTTGAGCACATGCTTCCTCCAAACCCTCGCCTCCCGGGCCTGCATGGCACCCCACTCTCTTGGTTCTTCTCCTGCCTCCCTGACGGCTCCTGCCCCATCTCACTCAGGGATTCTTCTCCAAGGTTCCAGCCTGGACCTGCTGCTTTCATTACTAGTCCACGTAGTCTTCCTGCTTAATCTCATCACCTCTAGTGATGATTCAAAAAAAAAAAAAATCCTCTCAAGGCAAGGCATAGATCCACATACTCACCTGTCTCCAGGATTTCTCCACCTGTCCCAAATTGAACTGCTTGTCTTCACCCTGACCTGCTATTCCCCTCTGTTCCCTAACTTATCTGGTGGCACAACCATCTACCCAGTCTCCCAAGCTACAAACCAGAGGTGTCCTGGACTCCTCCTCCCCCCTCCCTCTCCAAGTTCAACCAGTCTCTAAGTCCTGCAACCTTCTCCTATAATTACTTCTCAAAGCATCCCTTGTCTCCATCCCTGATGCCGCTCAGACCCCTCCTCTCTCAGCTGGATTCTTGTAACAGCCTCCTAACTGGTCTCCTCCCTGTGGCCTCACCCTGAGATCCACCATCCATAATGCCCCAGAGGGGTCACCTGAGAAGGCAAGCAGGACTAGGTTCCTCCTCAACATCACCATTCCCCTCTGCCCCAGCAGAAACCCAAGCTCCTAACCAGGGCCTCCAAGTCTCTTCAGGACCTGGTCTTCCTCTAGGCCACTTTCCACAGAGCTGTCAAAACGGTGTCTCTGAAAGGCCACAGTTGGCTCCAACTCCCCCTCCCCTCCCTTCTGCTTCTGAGCCTCTGCTCTCAGCCTCCTCCCCGCCTGGAATGCTGACCCCTCTTCCCCACACTGACAGTCACCGGGGTAACTCCCCCTCCTCTTTGGAGATTCAGCTCAGGGGTTGCCCCCCAGGACAGCCTGCCAGCCTCTGGCCTGGGTTGCTCTCACCCTCCCCGCTCCCTTACCATTGCTTCTAGAACTTGCCTTTGTCCTGCATTTACCCCTCCTCGGTTTACTCAGGAGTGTCCCCCCACGAACTGTGAGCTTCCTGAAATGGTGCCTTTCCTTCCTGTGACCTCAGAGTCTAGCATGGGATCTGGTACACAGAAGGTGCTGAATATATGTTGAGTAAATGGGTGAATAACTGAACGAAATGCAGAGGAGCCTCCAACTCCCAGCCCCGCCCAGCCCAGAGCTTGGCATGTGGTAGTCACAGTAAAGGTGGTCTGTATTCTATTTTCTGAATGAATCTGATTTAAGGCAATGTCTGGGACAGTTTGAGGTATGATGGGGGAAGGGGAGGGTCTGGATGCGGAAAATGACCAAAAGGGAAGCTTTGGGGTGCACCGCAGTGGGGGAAGGGGCAACGGGAGTGTCTGGAAAGGTGGGAAGGAACTACGTCTCTAGCCCGCCGCCCCTCCGCGCCCCGAGATCAGCCGGAGTCCGGCCGGGCTAACCCGCCTCCAGCCCCGCCAGCGCAGGACCCTCCCCTGTCACCCGGGTGGCGAGACCCCCCGGCTCGCGCGCTCGGCGCTCTGCGCTGGGAGGCGTGTGTGTCGCTTTAAAAGCTCCCTCCCGGCGCGCGGGGCCGGCCCCTTCGCTGACAGCGCCGAGGCGAGCGGAGCCGAGCGAGCCGGGCGGCCTTGGAAGGAGCCAGCGCC